CACAACCACAGCAGAGGGGGCTTGAAGGAGGGAGGATGAAGGAACATGCCTGTTCAGTCTGCAGAGCCACTGGTTTGCCCGTTCTGGCTGCTCGAGAGCCAGCTGATTAATAAGCACTGGGTGACTGAAGGACCAGTCTTGCTTCATGCTGGTTTTTGTTCCCCAAAATGGTTTCTTGAGACTTGTCTTTAGAGCCTTGTCAGCATCACACAATTTTACTGGGGAGTGTACTCGGAGCTGAACAGGCTCTGGTGATGTTTCTGGGTGGTTAAAGAAGTGGTTCTGTTAACATTGTGTGTACTCCACCCTAGAACTGCAGGTGCTTCTTAGTAAAACACTTGGCTACTGTACAGAATGAAAAAACATTTGGCCTTCTAAGCTTTCACTTTTACCTCTGTTGTTAAAACACTGCCTAACAATAAGCTGAATACTTTGAGTGTAAGTGTGAAAGCCCTTGCAGGATCATGAAATTCTACCTCAGCTGTAGCTGTTGCTCTGTTTGGAGGTAACCACTGAACAGAAACGTGCTGTCGTTCTCCTTTTGAAGCTGGTACAGGTGTTGCCTTCAGTTCAGTTGCAAACAGTGAGGAGAGCCAACTGATGTGGCTTGTGGTCCCTGGGTAACGTCTTCAAGAGTGTTTATATTGCAGGTGTTTAAATTCCACTGACTCTCAGTGGGATCTGGGTGCCCAAGTCAGTGATTCTGAAACAGAATTGGCATCTCTGATGCAAGTCTTGGTCACAACATTGGTGTTCATGACTGTGTTTAGCTAAAAATTGAATGAGGGACATCATAGTCTGTCAGAAATGTGAAAGATTGCTTGAGGTCTGTGGCCAAAACTGTTTGGGAATGTCTAGTCTATGTTGCTTAAGTGTTCTTGAAAAATATTTCCCTTTTTCTGGGAGAACACTTGATTCTATTTAGTTGAAGCAATGGAGATGAGGACAGTTGCTGATGTTACTAAAAATAAAATACAGTCGTAATCACTAAACTGTGATATGCCAATAAAAAAAATGTTTGCTGTCATTGCAAGCATTTATTTGGTCTGTACTGATTTACAAATGTGTAACTTGGCTTTTTAAAATAAAGGAGTGCACTCTTGAAAGAAAATGTTTGTCCTTTTAGCACAGGATTGATATCTAGTTGCTGTATGTAAAAGCTAGTTAGAATGTCAAATATATTGCAATCTGCTGTTATGTTCACTTCCTGTGTTATTCCTGTTAAGTACAGCTGAATATTTGTGGGAAAAAAAAAAGAGATAACCTTAAGAACTGAAAATGTCCAGGTATTAGAAACATTTTTGGAAATGGAGTCTCTCAGTGTGTGTCTGTGTGTAAAATCATTTGTTTATCCATCCTTAAGCCTCCGGAAGCTCTTACTTCTCTCACTGAAGTTATGTGCAAACACTTCCTGAAACTCAGCTCAGGCAGAAGGCTCTTAGGCAGAAGTGATCAGCCACTGGACACAGGAATGTGCCTTGTCTCCTTCCCCTGCTCACTGCTGCTTTGTTTCAACCATGTGTTTGTTCACTTAACCCCAAGGGTCAGAGATGCGATAGTGTGTGCCTGATGATACCCAAATTTTCACTCTGTGAAAACAGTAGACACCTGAAATCACTTTTCTTCCATCTACCAAGTTAGTTTCAAGCATGCTTGGGATCTTTTCACAAATAATACTGGAAAAAAATCATGTCCTAAGTGCTAGCAAGGCAATGGGGGCTTGTGCCATCTGCCTGAACAGCTTCAGGATTGCTCCTGGTGTTCATGCATCTCTGTGAGATGACACCTCACCTGCTAAGCTTGCACATTAATGTTGCACACTGATCCTTCAAGGAAATTACTCAAAATTTAATTATTTCCAGTTACTTCCCCTGTTAGTGTAATAAAATAATTAGCAGATTTTGCTCAGCCCTCCTTTTTATGAACTTAGTGAAACCAAAAGCTGTTTCTTTTTTTGCCTAAGTTGTAGGTAAATTAAATCATAGAGTGGTGTGAGTTAAAAGGGGCCTTAAAGACCATTTAGTTCCAACCCCCTTGCCATGGGTAGGGTCAGCTTGAACTCATGGGGTTCTTCAGGCCTGTCCAGCCTGGTGTCTCATAAGAACATGATGTTTGGGTTTTTTTTCCTTGCACTGCCATAAACTCTCATCTTTTCTGCCATTTTATGGAAGTGAGGACTTCCAGAAGATGGCTTGGGGAACAAGCTCTGCAGCTAGGCCCTCTGATTTGCAATTTTTGTAACGTTTGTTAAGCAAAGGCATCTCAGGAGCATGGTGGGAACCTACCCTGGGGAGGGAGGGAGCTGGGGCCTGAGTTTACAGTTCAGTCATCTCTCTAGGATTAGCCAGTGGCTGTGTCTCAGTCTGAGCCTTCCCCTGGTAAATTCAGAGGTGCTTGTCTGCTACTGGAAAGAGGAATACACAACTTTCAATTGCTTAATGTTACACTGGGGTGGGGAGATGCACAAACAGATGTTGCTGATAAGATAACAGCCTGATTTTGTATGCTGCAGTTTGTTTATTCTTACATCTGGGTCCTGAGCCACTGGGTTCATAAATATGATTGTGATCACATAGGAAGCTATTTGTTTTTCCTACACACAGGATCATGTATAGTTGTTTTTTTCCAACACATGCTGTATAAACCCTCCTAGAAGCAGGTGAGGAGTTGCAGTAGCAGTTTGGAGGGATGAGAAAACTGCAAAAGCAAAGTGACTGGAAATTGTGATGTGCCACTAAGTGAAGGGGACTTCTGACAGCCCCTCACTGCAGGGGCCAGGTCACTGCCAAAGAGCAGTGAACAACAAAGCTTTTAGGTCTGTTTGTAGAGTCAAACCACCCAATCATATAGCTGCTTTAAAATACACACAATTTGAATGCATAACATGTCTAGTAGAGCTGCTGAGCAGAGCAGCCTGCAGAAGAGCATCTGGGGGGTTTTACTTTGTTAACCTTGAGCACCTGTTGTTCTGGGACATGTAGGAAATGACAGAAACCAGAGTCCCTTGCTGTATAGCTGGCACCTTCTATAAACACAAGTGAAAATGCAGTTGAATAAATAAGGGTAAGAGCAGAGAACTGCTGTCAAAAGCAGATTTATAGTTTTGAGTCCTGTATACCTTCTGGTCTGCACACACTGCATCATAGCATGGAGAAAGGACTCAGGGGGAGCTGAGTAGATGGTAGAATATATGGTAAGCAAGGTTACTTCCAGCTGAGCTTAGACTCCATGAATGTCTGACATGGAGCTAAAAGACCTAAGCCCAAATATCCAGGGAATTTTTGCAGAGAGGGTGGAGGCAGTTAACTGTCTCCTTTAGCTGGAGGTCCATTCTGCCATCAGGCAGGTTAACAGGATAAACACTTCAATAGCACATCCAGAACAAGTGATATCTGAAAAATGTCCAGGATAAAGTCAATTGGAATCAATCCAGCCTGAATACTAGAAATTGGTGAAAGGCTGAAACCTGGGGAGAGTAGTTTGCTGCCAAACACAGTTGCCTTCAGAGAGATGGCACGCTGCAATAGTAGCCTGCTTAGGGAGAGAGCTTGTAAATGCAGGCATTAAGAAAACACTGCAGGCAGGACTGGGGGTGTTCCT